ATGTTTGTTTAATGACCGTGCCCGCACCGGGCGGGGGCCACCTGTCACGCGCCAGGCTGTTGATAACCGTCCTCACCTGAGAGAGCCAGCCCGCACCATAAATTCCCCCAGCGACCAGGATTAATCATTTTACACGGAAAGCAAGTAATTACGCGTCTGCCTGTAAATCATAGTTGAAAATCCACGCTCAAAAGTTGACACACCGTCTTCGTAAGTCAGGCGCCACCTACCAGGCCGGAACCAGCAAAGCCGTCCCAAGGCCTGGGTGGCAGGCTGCCTGGTGCCGTGACCCAAAGCTGGGGCTGCAGGGAGGGACGTGCCTTGTCCATGAGGAGCGGCCTTCCTGCTTTTGTCGGCAGGACCGGCGGGTCTGCCAGGCAAAGAACCCGGGACTCTACTTTCCGGGAAAGCCACCAAACAAACAGAAGTGCTGTTGAAGCCTCTGACTCTCTCCACACACATTTCTAAATCCATTGCGCTGTCGTTTTTTAGCGTAAAATGGTAAGGCTGGGGAGACAGGTCCGCCGATTGTCGGGGCCCATGGGGACATTGACCCGCCCCCCCGGCTTGTTGAAGCTGTTCTCAGGGAAACACACCCAGCGAGGGCCCGCCAAGAGAGGCGAAGGCTGACGACCAGGACAGAGATCCTTTCGGGGAACCTTCTGGGGAGGCCCCTTTCACGGCGCTGTCCACATACATGTCCCCGGGTCACGGCCCGAGGACAGGGGAGGCCGTCTGATCGGCGCTGACCCAGCCATGCACACAGTGGCTCGCAGCCGGGGCGGCGGGCATGTTCGCTGCGCCCCAACGCCACGTGGCACGCGGAGACCCTGGCGAGAGGAAGCGCCCGCAGGAGAACAAGCCTGTGCACCTCCAGTGACCTTCCGTGTGAAGTGGCAGGTCCGCAGCGGACCCTGCAGCCTCCGCGGGAACCCCAGCCGGCAGAGCGCACCGCTGCGCGGCGCGGCCGGAACGTGGCCTCCCAGGTCCTGGCGATACCCGTGGCGTCCATGGGGAAAATTCGGACTCTCCGTGGCCAGGACGTGGCTTCTGAGGCAGTCACGGTTGTCCCCCACGGGGTCCATGTTCTCATGTTCAGCGGATTTCAGGGATTGATTTTGCGTCCCGAATGCCGAGTCAGCCGTGCTTCAGGCCGAAGCGCGGCTCTGTTGTTCAACGCGGCTCTTCACAGTCCCCGCCCTGTTGCCGGTGGGTCTGAAGCGAACGCGGGCTCCCAGCCACGAGGCGGAGTCTCCACCATGGGAAATGGAGAAAGACCACGCGGCTTTAGGAGCTTTGTCATTGGACCTCGCCAGCTAAAGACGTGCTTTCTTTCGCAAGAAAGGAGCCCGTGGGAAGCCGGAATGCTCCCGTGGGGTCTGTGTAACCCTTCCAGATGTCCTCCACCGGCTCAGAGACATCGCGGCGCGTGCCCCGACTAAATTCCCACTGCTTGCGCACTCCTAGGGGGCGGGCGCGCTCTTCCTTGCGAGCTCTCGGGAGCTGTCCAGGTTTTCTCTGAAGCCCGGAGAGCCAGATGCAGTTGGCAGTGCAGAGGCGTGCATATTTTAGAAAGATTTTCTAATGCAGGCCATTGCCTTATCTCCCCCCGCCCCCCGCCCCGCAGCAGGCTCAGCAATCGACACATTAATGTCCCTGCACAAAATGTGCACACATTCCTCCCAGGGGGATGCGTGAAGACCCCAAGTTCACTGAAAGGGTATTTAGATAGCATCCGGGAGGAGGCGGAAAGGTGGGTGAGGCTAGACCATCCGTACCTGGAGTGCTTCCCAGTCTGCAAGTAAAACATCAGACAGAGCCAATGCAAACCCATGAAAAGCTGTGAACACACACGTGGCACAGACGTCCACGATCCCTGGGTGCTTGAGTTGGCCACGGGATGCTGGCCGGGGAACGCAGTGTCCCCAGGGCAAAATGGTATTGGGAAAAACGGCCTTTTTGAACCCTGTTTCATTGTCCTCGGTCCTGTCAACCTCGAGTTCCCTGTAAACCTTCGCTCTGGCACTGGCTCAACGGACACAGCCTCTTGATCGTGAGGCCAAGTGACCAGGAGACACATTTTAACCACATGTAGGTCAGGGGTGGGGAAAGGTCATCTGTGTCAGGCCACGTGGTGGATTCTGCCAGCTTTGCGGATCGCGGGCTCAGGCGATTCTGTGATTGCCGCGCTGACGCAGCCGGAGACGGTACCGAGTGGGGTGTGCAAGGCTGTCCGGCGCGGGCGCCGCGTTTACCAAACCGCAGGTGGGCGGGGCTTGTCTCTCCCCTCACCCCCCCAGTCACAGTGGCACAGGCTCTGTTCCGGGTTTTGTTTTTTTTTCACTCTGGCTCCCAATTCCATGATCATTAGCCCCGCTATTATCCTTGGGCCTCTCCGTCGATGATAAGCGTGTAGTTAGTTGAAGACATTCAAGGGCATGAACTCGACACCTGTGTCCTGTCATCCGTGAGGGTGTTCCTAGGACCTTCGCCTGCGGAGAAGCTGGGGCGATTTGATCAGCATTGTGTCTCGATTCCGGACTGAAGTGTTAGCAGCTGTCGGCTCCCGGTGAGCACCAGGAAAGAGATTCTGGGACAAGGCCTGTGTTCGGGGGGTTCTGGGGGATTGAGCAGTTTGCAAAATACATCTAACGAAGCACCGTTGACCGTCAGCAGTACTGGCATTCTGCAAGTTACCGCGAGGAACCCGGGTGACCACTGAGTCCGATCCAGCCAGGGCTCTCCGAACCTGAAAACGGGAACCTCTCCGTCCCGGACACACCGGGAAGCGTGCTGACCCCGTGGCAAACCTTTGATCCGATCTTGACCGCTTGTCTGCCCTGCTTCTTCGCTGTCTTCCCCGACCACTCAGAGGCACGCCCCAGTCACACTTTTTAATGACCATAACCAAAGTTTTTCATAACTTCCGGGCTGCCACTAACGATCGTTTCTCTTTGTCTTCCCACTGTTCGTCACGGAGTGTTCAGAACTCACTGAAACATTTCCCCAGTGCTAGTAAACCTAAAGGCACAACAGAGCAACACAATACAGCGGCCCGTTGACCAGCATGGGTTGGACCTACACGGGTCTACTGTAGATGGCTATTTTTCAATAAATATGTGGAGTCCTGTAAGGGTATGTTCTCTTCCGTACGGTTTTCTCAATAATGTTTTCTTTCCTCCCGCTTACTTGATGGTAAGAACACAGCATATAACACCGATAACATACCCAGTGTGTGTTCGTTGAGTGTTTGTGTGATCAGGAAGCCTTTTTGGTCAGCAGTAGCTTGTCAGTACATGAGATGGAGGGGGGGCGGTCAGGAGTTATAGGTGGGTTTTCGCCTGCCTGGGTGGGGGGGTCGATGCCACTCACCTCATGTGGAGCTTCAGGTGTCTTGTCCTCGTCTGTGACTATAATTTGGATGATAAATTTTGCCCGAAGAGACGCATGTTCCCATAACTTCCCTCAGGCGCAGTGGACCGCCATTCATGTGTGTCGTGGTTTGAGCAAAGTGGATGGGCCAGCTCCCCGCCCCCGTCTGCTTGTCTGTAGGTCTCTGTGTCGGACGCCCTTGATGAGTGTGGGCCCCCTAGTCTAGGGCATGGATTCGGACCCTGAGCGCTGCTTAGAAGTGAGACCTACTCATTCTTTGTCGGGGTGGAGGGAGCTGGGATGGCTGCTGCTTTGCGGGGCAGGGGTGGGGCATGTCTTGCGCATCTGAGCTCGCTCAGCAGCATGCCTGACCCCGAAGGCCCCAATCCACATCCGTGGGATCTCAATCTTGCCAAAAAGGGTCACACTGAAGGGACAGAAGAGGGAGGTCGTGCCCAGCAGGGCTCTGCCTGCTCCCGTGGGAGGGACAGGCCGCACGTCGACTCAACACCGTTGCCTTCCAACACGAATCGAACGTGGAAAGCCGGGCCGGGAGATCGATGGCCGCTTCAAAGCCCCCCTCTAGGGGGGACATAACATTTCTGGGACACGGAGGGACCGTCAGACGTCGTTGCTGACGGCTGAACTTCAAGAAGGCCAGGTCCACATTTACAAAAATCTATACGACAGCCGTTTTTCTCTAACGCCCTGTCCCCTGGTGGATGTTCGCGCCTAGCGGGATTATACTTTGTATTTTGAAAGCATAAATGATAGATGGAGGCATTAGTACATTGTTCCAAGGCGTGCGCAAGGTTTTGTCTAAAGGTTAAGGAAGAAAGAGTGTAATAAATAGAGAAAAACGTTCAAAGCCCCCTGGATGGCTTTCTCTAAGCGCCTTTTCAACGGCCGTGCGGAGCCGCATGCCCCCAGCGGAGGCGGAGAAAGTTTGTGGAAAGGGCTGGTTAATAAACATTTTCAGTCCTAACGCGGCCACCTGTCCCGGCAGCACAGAAACAGCCGCCGGTGACAAGGACGCGTCTTGCGGAGCTTGTCGACAGGCCCTGAGACGTGACTGTCCTGTACTTCTCCCACAGTGTCCTGTTTTAACCGTTTCCGATGGGAGAAGGAAGACAATCTTCCCGGGCTACCGAAATGCGTGGGCGGGCGGGCGGGGGCCGCGGGCAGCTTCTCGGGGATGCTGTCTGTTTGTGGCCCCGGCTCTATTCAGGAAATCTCTAGTGAGAGCTTGCAGTGGGGGACAATGGCGTCTGCCCTCTTTGTCCTTAGGAAGGCGAGGTGGCAGGTAATAAGAGAACGAGTGGATACGTACATTACTGCGCATGGTGAGAGAGAGGCTGTCGAGGGGGAAGGTACCACCACGGTGGTCAGCAGCAGAGGGACAGGTGTGTTTGCAGCGGGCAATCAGGTGGCGCTTCACGGAGGTGGTGTCTGCTCGGCCCGGGCCTGGCGATGGCTGGGAGCTGGGTGGAGAGTGGGAGGAAGAAGCCTGCAGACAGAGGACCTCTCCGGGCAAGGAAGAGCCCTTGGTGAGCGCGGCACGTGCTCGTGCAAGCTGTGACCTTTGTTCCTGTGGATGCCTTCACAGGGCGCACCCGATGCCCCCCTGCCGCCTCCCCTGAGGACCGCTCCCCTCGCGGCGTCTGCGCCTGCGGGTCCGCGCCCCGGGAGGCCTGTGGAGCACCGCCCCTGAGACCGTCTGCAGGACGTCACCAGTGTAAGTAGAAGCCACGCCCGCGGCGCTCCCCTCCCCCTGGAAGGACCGTGGTTGCCTGTTCGGTCCCCCGTGCCGGCCTCGCCTGAGCACACGGACTGAAACAGGAGGTGTCACGGCGTTCCCGAGACTCCAATGCTATCGGGATCACACACGTTGGGGGCCGCCCCCCCAGTCCTTTCCGTTCAGAAAGGCCTTCGCCAGCCAAGGTCCCTTTGCCGACAGGGAGCATGAGTCGTGCACGGACGTTCTCCTAGGGAGACGCCGGGCTTCCTGCCGGGGCAGGACGCTGACAAGCAGGGCGCGCAGTGTGTCCGCGAGGCCCCTGAGGCTGGCGGGCGGGCCCTTAGAAGTGGTTTCATGCCCGCCCTGGACGGCGGCGGCGGCGCTTGTGGACTCAGCACAGCCGCCAACGCACGGCAGAGCGGGGAGCTCCTGGTCTCCCTGGCGGCCTCCGCTGCTGTTCTGAGTCAGCAGCGGAGGGGCCCGGTCCGCGCCCTTCCCGTAGGAGGAGCGCCTCCCGCTGGCAGAGGGGGGTGCGTGTGTTCGCGGGGGGCGGCCCCCGGGGGCAGTAGGAGGGAAACGGTGGCAGAGACCCACTGCTGAGAGCCGCGTGGGGCTCTCTGCTCTCAGAAGGGGGCCACCTGTCTGTGACGCTCCGTCCTTGCGATGTCTGGGTGGCCACTGTTTCATCAGATGCTGTCCCCGCCCCCGTAGCCGCCGCCTTGCAGAAAAGGGCCCAGAGGTGCCTTCCGGGAAGATAGCGGTTCACTGCGGGGAGGCGCGCGCCCCAGCAGGGGAGCCACGCTGCGGCGTCGGGGAGGCTCCAGCGTGGGCGGCTGCCTCGCCCTCCATGGCCTCGCGCGCTCAGGAAGCGCGTGCGTCTCTGTGTCCGGGCCGGGCGTCAGCAGCAAGGGGACGCGTATCCATTCCTGGGAGCCCCGCGGACAGGCCACAAAGAGACGGTTCCAGGGAGATGGAAGGATCTGTAAACGCGGCCTAGTGTGCCGGGTGGCCCGTGCCGGGCCTGCCTCACGCTGATCATCCCTGCCCGGGGCTCGGGCCAAGTCGGAAGGCGCTTGGGGTTTCGTAGGTGTGCACGGGCTTGGCTGCCGCCCCTGGTGGGTGGCGGCCGAGGGCGCTGCTCACTGCCCTGCCGTGTGTGGGCTGGACCCCACCACAAAGCCTTATTGGGCCCTGGGTTGAGAGTACCCGGGTAGGGCCATCCTCCTCTACAGAGCAACTCACTGGACCTTGAGCTCTTTCTTCTCGGAACATTCAAAGGTCGTTTCCTCCCAGGGAGTCGCGTCGGGATGAGAATGAAAGGGAACAAGATGAGCTCGTAGGAGGCCTTTTCCCCACAGCAGAGGATCCTCCTGCTGCAAGGGACACGCGGGGGCTTGAAGCCTCGGCCGTGTCCGCGCCCAGGGCCCGGCTGGCTGCATGCCCGCTTCACCGTCTCCTGGGATCACTCTCGCTGTGGCAGCGGAAGGTCGTGGGCTCCTTTCCGCTGTTCCAGAAACAAACTTTTTGCGCGTTTTAGAGATTATCCGTTTCCTCATGGCCCCATTCCTGCCGGAGTCGGCTTGGCCTTCTGCCCTAGCGTTCAAAGCCGTAAGCACCTGCTCTGTAGCATTTTAGGTTTATTCCTCTGGAAAATGTTGGTACGTTTGGCGAGGAAATGCTCTGAGTCCTTTTTTTTTTTTTTTTTTTTTTTTTTTTTTGGTGGTTTTAGTCTGGAGGGGAGATGGACAGGTGTTGGACCGCCCTAGAAGCGCTTAGAGACAGTGCCGGGCTCGGGAGCTGAGTCTGAGCTCCAAGAGCCTCATGGTTCATTCCCAGTGAACGGATACAGTGTTCATAGTCCTTCCTGCCGCCCAGAGGTCAGGTGGGCGGCGGCTTTCAGCGGGACTGAAATGTCCACTCCGGAAGGCCTAATAACAACGTCCGTTACGTCTTACCCACAAAAAGCCCCCCACAAGAGGTGACTGAGCCTCTGTCACCGTGCAGAATGCCGAGAGCTTGAGGACAGCATGTTTAAGTCCTCCCCACTCCCCGCCGCAAGCGGAGGGGCATATTAGTGATCATCGACAAAATGCTTTCCTCTCCTGCCGGCTGTTCCCAACGCGTTCCCCTCCAAAGCAAGGTCCAGGGATACGAATGCTTTCTTACAAAGGTTTTTTAAAAAAGGGACGTTTCATGCGATGTCATCGTGTGGGACGAGCCCTTCCGGCTGCCTGTTGGCTTATTCTGCTCCAATGCATCCGAGGACGGGCGGTGGTTTGAAAAAAATCCTTTCAAAATGATGAAAAGATTTCTCAAGTGGACAGGAAAGTGTTCGTAAGGATATTTCCGGCAGCAAAGTCCCCCGCGGGGAAGTTGGATGAAGATAATCCCCTCCAGAAACATCGACGGCAGCTGCGTTGGGTCGCAGAGACAGTGAACGAGGGAAAGGCTCATTGAAGGGAAATGAGGGAGTGGCGAGGCCATCGACGGTGGCCCCGGACCGAGCGCTTGTCAGCAGGGAGGCCCCTGGTGGCCACGTGTCGCCCAGCAGGAGGCAGCGAGAAGGACACACACATTCCTGGGCCTGTCCCTGCCAGAAAGGCCCCACCCAAGCACATCCAGAAAGACGCAGATGAATCCTGGATGCACGGTGTTGTCTCAGGTCATCGACCCGGGTTCTTCCCAAAATGTCATTGTTACACAAAGCCAACACCAGCAGACTGGGGCAGATTTCAAAAGACGGCGCCACGTCGCAGCCCAACCGGACCCGGGGGTGGGTCCTGGGTGGGAAGCAAGAACCAGGCGGTGCGGCTGTGTTGGGGGACTTCATACGAGGCAGGCTGATGTCGTCCTGGCGTGTTCCCATCGTGGGGACAGAAGAAGCTGTCCTGGTTTTAGGGGTCTCGAGCCAGAGTCTTCAAGGGCGAAGGGTCCTCATCTGCGCACACGTCTCTGTGGAACGTCATCTCTCACAAATACCGATACAGTCATCCTCCTTTGCTCATCTTCTGATGTAGAGAAATACGGACGTGCAGACGTGTCCTCGGGCCCCCGTACACAGAGCGAGGAGGAAAGGGAGCGAATGCGAAGAAGTCACGGAGCATAGCTGTGCTCGGTTTTAGTTTTTCAACTGTTTTGATTGCTCCAGTTGCAGGAAGACATGGGCCGAAAGGACGACATAGGTCTCCGGTGTACAATTCGATGATCGAGGATGTGAAGCTGGCGCTGTGTGCGCCTCGTCTCCTTCCGACGCCCCGCATTGGACGCCATGCACCCTCGTCCACCCCCCCGCCCCCCGCCCTCTGGTCACCGCCACGCTGTGGTCTCTGTCTCTCAGCTGCCTCGTTCGTGCGGTGCGTTCGGTTTCCTCTCCCTCCTGCCAGTGCAATACTGTGGTTTTTCGACAGTGTGAACATTTCCCAAGGAAACCAGAGTTGAGAGAAGAGGCCTCGTGGGTTTAGGCAGCCGCTCCTGTGTGAGGAGGGGTTGATTGTCGCCATGGGACGTCTGAGTGGCCGTCCAGGGCCAGTGCAGGGGAGGCCCCGGTCGCATGCTGCTGCCCCCGCCCCCCGCTGTGAGTCAGGGGTGCGTGTGCCAGCCGACAGGCACCGCCCGCGGCGGGCTCGTTGGTGACGGCTGCCACCCCACGTGGCGGTGAGCCCTTTCCTGGCGAGCCTTATATCCATTCTAGGGAAAACATGGAGAACGGTAGACCCAATACATGCACTGCCTTTTGTCCTTTATAGGCTGACAGAAAATGGGGCACTAAGGGACCTGAGCTCTCTGGTCGCTCCTGGCACGTGGCCGTGCCTGGGCGGCAGTCGCGGACGAAGTGTGGCAGTTCCTGAGTGTCCAGTGCGTGGGACGCGTTCTGTTGCTGATCCTCTTTTCTCCTGTAGAAAACCCACATGAAGCCCTTCATTTTAGGAGTGAGTTCTGCGGAACGCTACAGCATCGCACGTAGAATGAGGTCGTCTTTGAAATCAATGAGAAAATAAATAGGATATATCACAGCAAGTTCAAATTCTTCACCCCGTTTCCATATAAAATGTCAGAGGACAAGCATAAAATACCTGTAATTAGATTGATCTTATCATTTAGGGGCATGGTCTTCTCATTTTAAACTGATAATCAGCTGATGGTGAGTGGTTGCTGTTAATACTGTTCTCACTGATACAACGACTCTGTGTCGTACCTCACTTTTGATTAAACCGATACCATTACGTTACAGTCTCTATACCACCTTCACCTGCACGAGTTTGGATCTCTCTGTTGGCGAAAATCAACACTGAATTTGGTACCGTCATGGAAATTTACCGTTTCATGTCCTCTTGCTCTCATCCCCTGCTAGCATAAATTAAAATGTAGATTTTTTTTCCCCCCCTTGAATTCTACCTTCTTACAACCCTCATGGAGTCTCCGGGAGCCCCTGACACTTTTACTGTGTCCTCAGAGCCAGAGGTAATTGGATGAGTGTATGGAACGGTTCCCTCATCTTTCCCACCCGACGGAGAGCCAGCTGATTGTAGTCATCTGTCCCGTTTCCTTCCTTTCAGATTCTAACATTCTCAAAAAAAAAACAAAAAAACTTTAAAATATACAGTCCATGTGCATTTACGAGTCAGACGACATCACCTTCCTTCCTTCCTTGTGTTCTTTGCTTTTTGAAATCAATACCCTACCTGTTATTCTGAGAGAAAAAAAAAAAAAAGAAACACCCAAAAAACCTTTGACTGCAGAATAAATGTACTTTCAAGGACATTTTTCTTTGTCTGAAATAGCAAATCGCCTAATAACCATTCTCCGCTTCTGGAGGCATTAGCATACGAATACCAAAGATAAGTGTTAAGCCCTTTTGATAATACTGAATATCGAAATGATCGCTAAAAAAGTAATTTGGAGAAACGCCGCCCCCCGCCCCGTGTGAACTTTCAGAGCACTTTCCGCATGTCAATTTTTGTATAAATCTGGTCTTTCCTGTATTTGAAATATTACCG